TGTATTCGTAATATCATTTATTGCTTTGGCAGTTTTATGTATCAGAAGCTGAAGGGGAGGCAGACCTACGGGAACAGCTAGTCAGAATTCATTTCCCAACATGAAGATACTAATTTTTGTCTAATAATACTATATACTCCTACAACTCACTCTTAACTAATTATGACAGTTTAATAACTGTTCATGCTTGGGAAGATTTACTTTTTCCTAGTACATTTGAGTTCTGAAATGTTGTGGCAATTTGTAAACCAGCAATTTGAGTTATGAATTATAGAAGAAAATTCTTCCGTTTGTACTCAGGCCTTTCATAACAACTGAATTCTTCCCTTTCTCCTTGCTATTCAAAAGTATCACAAAGTAAATTTATGATTTTCACTTCTATACTTAACGAATCATAGAATCATATGATCATTAAAGTTGGAAAAGTCCACTAAGATCATCTAGTCCAACCATCAGCCCATCCCCACAATGCCCGCTAACCTTGTCCATCAGTGCCACATCCACATGGTTCCTGCATACCTCCAGGGACAGTGACTCCACCACATCCCTGGGCAGCCTGTGCCAGTGCCTCACCACTCTTTCTGAGAAGAAATTGTCTCCATACCTGGACGTGTTCTGGAAGAGAGTAGATGTGGCACTGAGAGACATGGTTCTCTGGTGGGGATGGGTTGACGTTTGGAGTAGATGATCTTAGTAATCTTTTTCCAACCTTTATGATTCTATGATTATTATTCAATTCTGTAGCTATAGAAATAACAAGTAAAGCAATTTGTTGCTGGGATAATTTAGCAAGGCAGTTAAGTGTCTGCTTCCCAGCACAAAGGAGCCTTCTTCCTTCATTACTCAGTACATCCAGTGATGCTTTTTGTTTATACATCACAAACAAAATTGGCAGAGAACATGTCCTTAATAAATTGTGTCTTGTTTACTCCTTTGTGAGAAAATGAAATTTGACTAATCTTTCACGTGATGAGTTTCCATGCCAGATTAGAAGATGTGAAGATAAGCTGTCAAGTGGTACCAGTTCAGCTGTACCTTGCGGGAGCGTGTGGGGCTATGGAGCCATCAGCCCGCTGTCTTATGTGCTGCTGACAGCACTGGGAAAGAAAAAGAGTCTCTTGTGTGTGCAGCCAAGTGCTTGTGAGATCTTGCAGGGCCACAAAAGAATGCATTGACTGTGTGCTCCCCGTGCTGTGGCAGTGAGGCTGACACTTCTGTGTGAGGTGGAGCAGAATAGAATAGTTCCATTGGAAGGGACCTTCAGAGATTGAATCCAGGCACAAGTGCATGCAGCTGAGAAGATTGTTCAGGAATTTGCTGTGGGGAGAGAAGAAGGGATCGCTAAAGAACCGAAAATTTGAAATTTGAAAGGCTTAGTAATCTTTATATTTAAAAACAAACCAATAAAAAGCTGAAGTAGATTTGCAAATGATTTTTTTCCTTCCCTTTTGCTTATTGTTATTATTGTTCATGTAATTTTTAGATGATCTTTGGCAAACACAGGACCTATATTCAATTCGTTACTTTAATCATTTGGCAGCATAGCCAGTAATATTCATTGCTTATAAATTTGGGTAGTAATGAATAAAGGCTTTTCCTTAAAGGCTGTTGATGTAGTCTACCTAGACTTCAGCAAGGCCTTTGACACTGTCTCCCACAGTGTTCTCCTGCAGAAGCTGGCAGCCCGTGGCTTGGACAGGTACACTCTTGGCTGGATAAGGAACTGGCTGGAAGGCTGGGCCCAGAGAGTAGTAGCGAATGGAGCTAAACCCAGCTGGCGACCTGTCACGAATGGTTTTCCCCAGGGGTCAATGCTGGGGTCTGTCCTCTTCCAACATCTTTCTTGACAACCTGGATGAGGGCATTGAGTGCACCCTCAGTAAGTTTGTGGATGACACCAATTTGGCTGGAAGTGTGGATCTGCCTGGGGGTAGCGAGGCCCTACAGAGCGATCTGGACAGGTTGGATAGCTGGGCTGAAGGATGAGGTTCAACAAGGCCAAATGCTGGGTCCTGCACTTTGGCTGAAACAACCCCAGGCAACGCTACAGGCTTGGGGTGGAGTGGCTGGAAGACTGCGTAGAAGAAATCGACCTGGGGGTATTGATTGATGCTCGGCTGAACATGAGCCAGCAGTGTGCCTGGGTGGCCAAGAAGGCCAATGGCATCCCGGCTGGCATCAGAAATGGTATTGCCAGCAGGAACAGGAAGGTAATTATCCCCCTGTACTCAGCTCTGGTGAGGCCGCACCTCGAGTACTGTATGCAGTTCTGGGCCCCTCACTGCAAGAAAGACATTGAAGCCCTGGAGTGGGTTCAAAGAAGGGCAGCAGAGGGCACCAGCTCTGCTGGTGAGGGGTCTGGAGCACAGGCCTGATGAGGAGCGGCTGAAGGAGCTGGGATTGTTCAGTCTGGAGAAGAGGAGGCTCAGAGGAGACCTTATTGCTCTCTATAACCACCTGAAGGGAGGTTGTAGTGAGCTGGGGGTCGGCCTCTTCTCTCGTGTAACTGGTGATAGGACTAGAGGGAATGGTTTCAAGCTGCGCCAGGGGAGATTTAGGCTGGATGTTAGGAAATACTACTTCTCTGAAAGAGTGGTCAGGCACTGGAATGGGCTGCCCAGGGAGGTGGTGGAGTCACCGACCCTGGAGGTGTTCAAGGAACGTTTGGATGTTGTGTTGAGGGACGTGGTTTAGTGAGCACTACTGGTGATAGGTGGATGGTTGGACTGGATGATCCTGTGGGTCTTTTCCAACCTTGGTGATCCTATGATTCCTAGTGTGTCAGACACTGAGACGTTCATGGGTTTTTATTGGGTTTTGATGTTATTCTTAAAGAAAACTTTCAGGTATTTGGAAAATGCTTCTGAATGAACTGATTATGCTTATTGCAGTGCTGCTTAAAAGATGGGCTGTCTTGGCTATTAAATTAGATCCTAAAGTTTGTACTGTAAGCTTAGACTTGGAGGGATGAGAGGATGTCTCCAAAAGGGTGTTGATTGGAGGAAGATTTTCCAGTAGGTAAAGTAATTCAAATGTATTTAATGATTCAGATAAAACTTCTGATTTTGAAATGGCATCTTTGAAGTCTTCAAACAAAATAAATGAGATGAAATATTACCTAAGCATTTTGCATCAGACCATTCTTATGCTAACTGCAGTGACAGAGGAGAGAAGGTGGATTTCAGTTTCCATTTCCACTATTGTAGTCTCTCCTGGTAAGGATTTATTTTCTTCCACACCTGCATAGATTTGATACTGGTCTAAACTGGACGGTTTTGGTGTCCTCACCTTAGACAGCTATGGTGATGTGAATAGGAATTCTTTAAAAATATTAAGACTTAATAGGAATTCTTCATTTTTTTTTCTTTCTGTGAAGAATTTCGCACAGCTTTTCTTTTTTTTTTAGTCCCTTTTAAGAAGAATTTTGTTGAGTTATTTATTTATCTGATCTGTAGAGCAGAAAAAGGGAGCCTTGCTACTTAGATGAGCTGCTGTTTTCAGAAGCTGCAAACGGCGCATACAAAGGAAGGAAGTCTCTTTTGGCATCAAAGTCGTCCAGTTACTTTTGATATGAAAAACATAAGTTTTCTTTGATAAGAAAAACGTAAGTTAGAGCCCTCAGAATGGAATTAAAATAAATCTGAAAATGTATCTGTTTAAAGGCTGCTTTTCAAGGTTTCACTTTATAACCTGTTTTTTTAGTTGGGCTTTAGAAGTGGAGAAACAGTTTTAAAATATTAGATACCTACTAATAAAAGTGTTTTTTTTTTTTTTTTAATTTTATTTTTTTTTATTACCTTCTCTTTCTTAATCAGTGAGATATCTAAATTTTTTGAAAACTAAAAGGTAAGTCTCCCAGATCAAACAAAGTCTCTCTGGCCTTTTGCAAGGTACTGTTGTAAGGAAGGAGAACTTTTCTTAGGAGTATTTCAATTGTATGGTCAAATAAACATGGAGTGCAGTTAAGATTCTCAAATTTGGTAATGGCTAGATTTCTAAAATAAAAACATACAGTATGCAGTATTGTGAAAAATCTTCATTTAAAAAAGCATTAAAAGTGCTGTGTGCATTTAAAATTTGTTTCATGTCAGTAGTACAGTACAGGGTGCATTAACAGAAAAAAAGATTATTTGTTTTAGTGAAGTCATTTTCTCTTGAAGCTATTCATAGAATCATAGTATTGTTTGAGTTGGAAGGGATCATTAAAGGCCATCTGGTCCAACCCTCCTGCACTGAACAGGGACACCTGCAGTTAGATCAGGTGCTCAGAGCCCCATCCAGCCTGACCTTCAGTGTTTCCAAGGACGAAGCATCCGCTGCCACCTTCCTGGGCAACCTGTGCCGGTGTCTCACCACCCTTGATGTAGAAAACTTCTTCTTTATATCCACTCTAAATCTCGATCTCTCTTTTAGTTTGAAACCATTTCCATTGTCCTATCAGAACAGATGCTGCTAAGAGTCTGTCCCCTTCTTACAGCCCCCCCTTTTAGATAATGAAAGGCCTCTCTCAGGTGTCCCCAGAGCCTTCTCCAGGCTGAACAGCCCCAGCTCTCTCAGCCTGTCCTAGTAGGAGAGATGTTCCATCCCTTGGGTCATTTCTGTGGCCCTTCTCTGGACCATGTCCCTCCTGCACTGAGCACTCCCCATCTGGATGCAGTAATGCAGTACTCCAGGCGAGGTCTCACCGGTGCAGAGTAGAGGAGCAGGATCACTTTCCTTGACCTGCTGGCCACGCTTCTTTTTATTCAGTCTGTTTTGATTTAGAAGGTTTACTGTTAAAATAATTACATTATCTTACTTAAAATGTGAGTTTTATTGTGTTTAAAAATTGAAATCCCAAAGGTTTCTGTATTCCATTGTGATAACGATCTGAAGTTGACAGTTCTTGTTTTACTCCCTACAGCATATTGCTACTGGAAATGATTACTTGTAAGAACCTATAGAAAAATGATTTTGTGCCAAGATAAGCCTAGAGTAATATGATTTTTCTTTGTTTTCAGTCCAGAGGAGCTTCCTGTCCATGATGCAGCAATAGAAAAAGTAAGTTCAGTGTCTTCCAGGTTTTTTTTAAAAAAAACTTTTAAAGATTTATGACTTTTTAATATAAATTATTGTGAAATCAAGAGATGAAACATTTTAGTGATTTGTGTTCCCAAAGACACAGTTCCAAGTCCCAGAAGGAATGTGGTTGTTGAGGCCATGTTAATGAACACACAGATCCCTTGGGGTCCCATGCAGTAGTGTAATTAATTACTCACTGCAGTGAGGCATAGGATTTCTTCACCCATCTCTTGACCCTGTAAAGCAAATAGAGCTGTTTAACAAAACACACCCAGGTCTGCCCCAGAAGGGACCCAGCTGGCAGGCACCTGTCTGGGGTGAGATGACCTGTTTGTATCACAAGCTGTCACCAGCTGTGACCAGATGCAGTGTCCAGGTGAGGTGGCACCTGGTGCTCAGGCATCTGCTGCCTTCCCCTGATGAGTGGAGCGTGCTTTTCTCCTGTGGAAAATGGTGACAGATAACCTGGCTGTCACTGCTGCGGTATGATGAGCTCCATTGTAATGCTGAGTTGACAAGCCAGGTGTGTTCTACATCTGTGAGACATGCCAGCAGCCAGTGCTGATCATCATTCTGAAAGCCTCCTGCTATTGGAGGATGCTGGTGGACAAGTTTAGGAACTGATGTTTTAATGATGTAGAAAGCTTTTTACTACACTGGAACTGCATTTCTGCTTGTATTGGCCAAGATGAGCTCCTTTTAATACCTTTGGCCTTTTCTGTCAGGCCCTTTTTGTCTCCAAGATTATCTTTTCCATACTGATCATCTGTATGATCAGAAAACTCTTGAAATATTTAAAATTGTGAGCTTAAAGTTATCTCTTTTGGCTGCACAAATGAGTAGAGTGCATGGAAGAAAGATGGAGTGACTCATCTTAAGAAGACTCAACTCTGAATATTAAGAGCAGTGTTTCTAAATACTATTTCCTTCTCCACAGAAACTAAGGAGTCGGTACAGGGCTAGCAAGAAGTCCTTCTCATTAAAGAAGTGAACTTCTGAGTTTCTGTTTTGTGTCAGTTCATATATATTTCTGCATTTGCAGCCTGAAGTAGTTGCATTTTCTTGCCATGTTCTATTACATTTAATAACATAGCAAGACTATATATAATTTCATTTCCATCCGGTGGACACAGCAGGGTAGCGAGCCTATGAGCACAAACATTGGACAGCTTGCAGTTATTATGGTATATGTTTTTGGAGCTCTGTTTCACTGTGACTGTAGTAAACTTTACATTATTGCCTGAAAATGGTGTCTCAGTTCTTTGTCCCATACTTTATTCATGCTGTCTCAGACAAAATCTCAGCATAGAAACTGTATTTACTGAATCAGTGTTCAATTGCAAATCTGGTTTACTTTTATAATCCTACAGCAATGCTCCTGTGTTAGACTCCTGGTTATACTCCTGATGATATCCTGACCTCTGCTGGTTTGAGGTTTATCTGTCTTTCTATCAGTGGTGATTGAGACTTCACTGTTTTCAGGATACCATTCACAGAACAAAGAAAGTGTCACATTAACACTAGCAGCTTTCTGGGCAGTATCTTTTAAAGTCATGTATTTGGCAAAATTAGATATGGTTTTTTTTTTACTTATCTGTGAATTTAAAAACAAAAGTTCTTAAGTCACACTTTGCAGTTTATGTAAAGCATTGTATATCCTTGTGAACTTTGAATGTTTTTTCATACATGTTTTAGTGTAAAGCTCAGGCAAGGTTTGCACAGATATCTTTTTTTGTCATGTTTTTGTGTGCAGTACTTCTGGAATGGGAATTATTTCTATGACTGCAAAGTACTTTCAATGGTTTGTTTACCATGCTGGATATTTGATAACTTAAGTGCTTCATGCTGTTATCCTTCAGTATGAACTTCATATGAATCACACAGTACATCTGAGATAAAACTAAAGGAGGAAAGATGATCCAGAATAGAAAAGTGGACAGGAAATAGACCTCAGGATGTTTGGAGTCTGTGTCAGACTGTTTTTTTTCTGAGGCTTCTGCTGAGGCGTTGCTCTGAGCCTCAGCTATAGCACACTTACTGTCTGTGAAGGTAGAGCGCTGCACACAAGGTGGAGCTTCATGCTTCTTCTTTTCAGTACTGTATTAGTTACTGACACCAGAGTGAGAGACCTTCTCTTTTGCAGTTAGGGATTCTGTTACTCCCAACGACAAAAAAGCTTCAAAGTATAAAAAAATAGTCGTAAGACTGATAAATGGATTTTTTTTTTTTTTTGTGACAACTACATGGAATTTGTCTAAAAGAGCAACAGCAGCATCCCTCTACTCTGCAATGAGCTGCTTCTGATCTGTCCATGTTTCCAGTGTTGCACCTGTTTGACATGAAAGTGAACATAATTCCGACTGAAAAAAAAAGAGCAAAAAATTTTCAACAACTGAACGCAGAAATAATTGCTGTTTTGACTACAGTAGGTTCACATGAGAACTGGGATAAATTGACACAGAAGACATAAAAGCTTGAACAAACATACAATTGAAGTGAGCTTCTGGCTCAGAAGACCAGATATCTTGAAAGTAGATCAAACATACAAACAGAAAGAGTTTAGAGCAGATGGGGTTTCATTTTTCTTAGCAATTATCTGAAAAACCTGTTGAGGGCAGAGACCTTTTCTAACTTAATAGCAGTGTTATTCCAGCAGAATAAACTACTCCTGGAGAACATCTGCTTCTGAGATGTTGAAAAGATTTGTTTCTTAAGGGGGTCCTGTGTGAGGACGGGAATCAGAACCAATAATGTGAAACCTGTGAAATTTGGGAAGCAGTCATTTATCTACTGTTTCCTTCTAACCTAACTCTTAAGAAAGTTTTTGTTGTTGTTGTTGTTGTTGTCTGTTTTTTTTTTTTAATGTATACATATATACACATATATATTTAAAAAGTAGTTTAGGAATTACCAAATACAGCGTGGAACCTGAACAAGAATGTGAGCAGTAGATTGCAGCATGAAGAGTTGGATAAGTAAGGTTAAGATAGGAGTAGCACTTACTTCCAAATAGCTTATGCTTTTGTCTGATGGATTGAATTCAAAATAACTTTTCAAGAAACAGCAACAACAACCAAACCAAACCCCTTCTTTCCTGTACACCTTATGGACTGAATCACACTTGGAATGGATCTAAGCAGTCATCGAGCTGCACTTGTGTCAGTGCAAGGCTTTTGGCTCCTGAATTAAAGAATTCCTATGCTTATCTTCTTGTCAAGAAAGAATGCATGAAATCTGATGAGGAGTAAAAGCTGGAAACAGAATTATGATTAACTTGTGATAATAAGTAATAATTTTCATTTTTATTTTCCTAGCACCTCAGATACAGTTAATGGAAGTGCAAACAAGTTTCCAGAATCTTGCAGAGCTTTGAAATTAGACTTATATTCTTACATTCATTAATCATTATCTGTAGGAAACAGAAGATCTTCATTGTCTTTATCAAGACCTGAATTTGAAGTGGGAAGTAGAGGGACTGGCCTTTATGAAAAATCTGAATATTTGCTTACGTTCATGTTTGAAGAGAAAGCAGTGGACACAGATAAGCTTTCTGCTTTAGCTTTTTCAGTGTTGATCCTCAGCTGCAAAGCATTATGACAACAAAAACACAAAGCCCAAACACTCCTCCTCCCTCTTCTAGGATAATCAGAGATACAAGACCTACTTTACAACATGTAAAACATGGCTGTAAAAGTGCCACTTTGTGAGTCTTCTTATCATCAGAACCAACTAAGTGTGCATTTGTGACTGAAAAGCTGAAGTGCCAGGAATTTAGGGACACAAATGGATAACTGCAAGTGCTTGCTTGGTTCCCATATTCAAGAAGTTGATGGCAAGTGTAGCTATCTTTAGGATTATGGCACTGTCCTGTGTTTTTAAAGCCATGTGGAACATAGAAGTGTGAAAATAACATTTATTATGTTACTCTACTTCAACTGCTTATTTTTTATATAGTATTTTTTTGATTTCTTATTTTATCCCCTTGTTTCTGAAATATTCTTGTCAGTAATCTCTCCAACAATGAATTATAGCAAAACTTTATCACTTTTCAAGACCAGAAATAGTCCCATTTTTGCTGGCATGCTTTTTCTTGCACTCATACATATCCTTTATTTAAAGCTTATGAGTGTTATTGAGATCAACGTATACTGGTTTGCTGCATCATCTGAAGTATACTCTTTTGTTTCTGTCAGGGTGTGTACTGCGTTTTTAATTTGTACCTTTTACAAAGGGTTGGTTTGTATGGCTGCTGGAAAGCAGTAGCTAATTGTGTCTTGGGTCTTGGGTAAATCTGGTTAAGGACAGCCATCATTGCAGAGTCAGTGAACTTAAACCGTTTGCAGCAGAAATTATTTGCCTGAAAAATCACTCAATGTAAAAACAAATCAAAATGATTTTCTATTTGCAAAAAAATATGTGTAGAGAAGAAACTTCTATGAATGTTGCATCTAATGTTTTTCTTGATATTTTTAGAAATACATTAAATTAATAATTTAATATGTGTTCATTTTGAGAAGATTGACATACTGTGATTTATTTTCAGCAAAAACACCTGGAAATTGAAAGGACCACAAAATGGCTGAAGATGCTGAAAAGCTGGGAAAAATATAAGAATAGTGAAAAGGTAAAGTTAAGCATCCTTTTTTGTTAGTTATCACTTTCAAATGAATGTGTAACCTTAAATTAGGTTGTCTTATTTTTGATCAGAAAAAATACACGTGGAAAGAAGACTGGTTTTTTTCTTCCAAAAAGCTGTAATACATTAAACAAACAAATGAAGAAACATCCAACAAAACAAAACAATCCCCCTCCCAAAACAGGAATAAAAAAAAAAAGAAATCAACAATGGGCAAATGCAGGGAGTTTTCACTGGAACAGGTTGCCCATCCCTGTTGTGGATGCCCCATCCCTGCAGGCATTCAAGGCCAGGCTGGATGTGGCTCTGGGCAGCCTGGTCTGCTGGTTGGTGACCCTGCACATAGCAGGGGGGTTGAAACCAGATGTTCATTGTGTTTGTTTTCAGCCCGGGCCATTCTATGATTCCATGATTCTATGAAGGACAGTACTCTTTATTCATAGTAATAATTGTGTGTTACATTGTGTTGTGTGCTGTGAGTTTGGATCACTTAGCAAATTGTGTTCATGTGACTGCAGAGTAATTTTAGGAGCAGATAAAGTGTTCGACCTGCTTGCCTTCTGTTGCACGTAGCTGATGTTACAGAAAATTGTGTTTGGTTACATTTTTAGAGTGAGAAAGAGGGAAGACAGGAAAATCTTTGTAAGCTTCAAAATTGGGAGCATATTGAAATGGGAGTAGTTGAGATCTGCAAGAATCATCAGTTCCCTTTCAGAGATTACGATTTTTACCTCTGGGGTGATTTTTTTATTCATTTATTTGCTGGATATTGTTGTAATTAATATTTAAATTTAAAGTTATTCTTTTGAGATACTTACTAAGTTCTGAGGATTTTTTTATTATTAATCTTCTATGGTTTCTGTTTTTTTTTAATGTTTTTGCAACCCAAGTTTACTGATGAACAGCCTAGGATGGCTTGCAGTCACTGTTCCGTGAAAACTGCCTTGAATAACTCTCCAAGGAAACTGATTAGTCATAACATGGGGCATATAGTTTGATGTTTAAATTATCATGCTTGCCAGCAAAGATATCTTTAGAATATTACAAAATGCATGGTTTCTTTGCTGAAAAAAGAGTTTCATTGAGTAAGTTTTCAAGTAAAAAGTACAGGAAGCTGTTCTATGCCTTGGGATAAGTTTTGTTTTTTTTTTTTTTTCCATATATAATATGTAACCCCCTTCGTAGTCTTTAAGAGAAGCCATTTTTTGATGGTATGAATGGGATCTGCTTCTTAATAGAATACCTTCTGGCGTGATGGGCTTTTGCCTTGAGATCAATATGGAAGAGCTGCTCAGAGATAAATCCCTGAAGTATGTTTGCAGCTTCATAACCGTGCCCAACAGTGCTACATCATTTCTTGATTTAAAGAAATAAATAGGTAAAAGGAGTAAAATGATTTTCTATGTGAAGTTACAGGTGATTTTTTAAGTAAACAAATTACCTGTTAAAGCTCTTGGCACTGCTTTGGAGATTTTTAGTTACAGAATTATTTTGAACCTACTTGGACAATGAGTAATGGTCTGGGGGTAACAGAAGTCGAGCAATGTTAGGCAGGCCATTAAGCATCAAGTGTTTTTACTCACTTTGAAAGGTAAGTGGGGTTTGTGCGTAGTTTCTTTGCTGTAAACATAGTCTTTGTCATCTCAGATCTGTTAAAACTTACATCTTGTTGAGGAAATTCTGTCCATGCATTCTGGTGATGCTGGTCTGCCTGTCTTTTGCTGAGGACAGAGGACAACTATTGCACGCCCCAGGTCACTGCTTGGATGAATGTCCTACAGAGTTAGTTTGCTCCCTTACACCCCGTTGTTTCACTAAGTTATTCTTTGCAAAATGGAAAAACTTCAATTGGAGAGGTTGAGATGAGGATATTTGTTAGAATGATTTGCAGAGAAATAGGAGATACTGCAGTTGAAACAGGAAGGAATTTACTTGTCCCCTACTCATGATGTATGCTATCCTGCCTTTGTTTTCAAGGCTGCTAAGTGCCTTTCTTTACTTTTCTTTAACATACCAAAAGCAGTTATTGCTGTCTTTCAGAGTATCACTTTTTAAATCTAAATCATAAGAAGGTAACTTTTTCCCAAAGCTTTTCTCATTTTTTCTGTTCATAGCAGATCTGGCTTTGTTTCTTTATTGAGGTGATTGACTGATCTGAAGATATGTTCACAAATTAAAGGGATGCTCAAAAAAAGCTGTAGAACAGCAATCTAGTTTGCAGTATGTCAAATACCACCCTTCAGGGAACACAACAGCTCTGTGTTGTCTAAGCAGCACTGGTCTTCCTCTTCAGCTGCCAGTGACATCAGTCTGTTGTCCATTGATTTAACTGAATGATCCTCTTCACCAGGCTTGTGGAAGGTAAAGCAGATCAGCTGAGCAGAAAGAGCTTCAGTTCATGTAACAAATTATAGACTGAACTATAAATAGTGTCAGGAATAATTCAGTATGTTCATAAAAAAAACTTTGCTTCAGGCTAGGAATTTTCACTGGTCGTTGGACCCTGATGGAGCACAAGGATGTTTTTGTTATTTTCTTGCATTAGAACATAAACAGAATAGAATCAAAACCCTCCTCCCAGCCAGCATGCAGTGGAAAATCAGACATTATTTGCTGCTCCTGTTTATGGAAAGTGATTTTCTTATGATTGTATAAATTTGCAAACGAAGACAGTTTTTACTTTAATATGTTGGAAGAATACACCAATTTCCAACCCTATTTTTTGAAGAGCAGAAGCAGTAAGTTGTAAGTTGCAAAAACAGTTCCTGACTCTTGCTTTGTCTTCACTTGATTGGATAAAAAATGCACCAGAGGAGCAAATTACTAAAAAAAAAAAAATAAAAAAATCAACAAACCAAACAGCCTGCCATTAAAGGATTCACTTCACCTGGCATTCCCATGGTTTCTGTGCAGTCAGGCTGCTCCTGAAATCACAGCTGTTTGGAAACAGCACTGAACGAAACATTGCTGCAATGACGAAAACTACAGTAATAATTTTGTAGAGTTACAGATTATAACTGTAATGCTGGCTTGGTTTTGGAAAATGACATACTTGAGAAATGGAGAGACAGAGAAAATAATGGTCTCAAGGATGGAGTGGGTATTACAAAGTATTGGACTTCAGAAAGCCCTTTTGTAATGAGCCTATGATAGTTTGGGCTTGAAGCAACCTGTTCATACCATAAATATACTATAAATGAATCTGCTATTGATTACATTATCCAAAGCTGTCATACACCTAACTGCAAAGTACAGTTTTCTTTTAATTCTCTTTTGCAGAGCTGCCTGGAGGCTGCTGCCTTAATTCTTTCCTTCTTAACTTTGCAAGGAGAATTAATGAGAAGATATTCGCACACTGATGTGTTTGTATGTGTGTATGAGATGCTTCAATTTACATCTTCCCTTAATCTTTATTGCAGAAGAAGATCTCAGGAGAAGTGGGAACTCTGGGGACTTCATCTTGCTTTCCCATTAGAACTTCTGTGCTTTAAAGTTTCACAACAAAAAAGTAGGGGGAGGGCAGCCTTTGACCACAAGGAACTGGAGAAAGACTGAACCAGAAAAATGTCAGTCTCTTCCATCTTTGAGCAATGAATTATATGTAATGAAAGAAGACGTACTGGAAGTAAGCATGCTCATCTTCGTAACTGTGTAAGCTCCTTGCTTCCTATGTGATTATTTAGGTATCTTTTCAGTGAAGTGATCATAATTCTTACAGACACCAGTCTCTGAAATGCAGACCTGTCCTTGTGTCTTTGTTTTGACAAATATCAATCACACAAAGCTTTCATCTCCCTATCAGTCATTTCTTATGCAGGAACTGTCAGAGAGTAGCAGAGTTTGTCTTTCATTGTGGTGTTTCTCTAGCTTATGCTTTTATTTTCTATTTGTATTCTACTGCTTGATAGCCCAGGGTACTATCAACCACCATGGATATTGAATCTTTCCTGCTTAGTATGATCATAACTTTCATGAAAGATTAAATAAAACTGTTACATTCCCATTTGAGTATTTCCACTAAAGTATTTCTGTCTCTTGCCGTCTACCTTCATCTAGCTGTGACTGAAGTCACTTAAATTGAGAGAAAAAGGAAGAATTGAAACAATCAGGGTAGCTGGCAATTTCCAGCTGTTCTGGCATTCACACAGAATGTAATAATCAAGTCTCCACTTAGTTTGGAGTCTGAACACAGAGCCTTAATGAAGAACCCTCTTCGCATTCCTCAGATTTTTTTGAATGAGATTTAGCAGCTCTTGAATTTGCACTTTTTCTTCCTTTTATGCAATCCACGGAAGTTGAAGAACCTCTAAAGGCAGCAGCCTTTATAAATATATTTTCTTTTCATTATAAATATACTTTCTTGTGGGCCTTCAGATTTTAATTTTGATGCTTCTCATCACTGATTCTTTTTGAGGTGGCAGAGTCCCTCTGTGTCATGTGCAGCTCTTCCTAGCATAACTGAAGAAGTTTTATTTTCAGGAAAGCCAGTTTTCTATCTGGCATAAGCTAGACCGCCAGATCTTGCTCTTAAACCTGTTCTGTGTGGTGCTGGCCTTGTTTCTTGGCCAAGTACCAACTGGACTATCAGTTTTAAAGTCTGGGACATAGGAATAAGGGGGCAGTTTTAGATTTTCTGGGTTTTTCTTCTTCTTTTTTTTTTTTTTTTTTTTTTTTTTTTTTTTTTTTTTTTTTGTGCATAGAGGCTATATTGAACATTGCATGATAACATCTTCGTTATTTGAGATGATGGCTAAGATTTATTTGGGTTATTCCAAGTCTAGTAGTCATTTTTTTTATCATTTCTCTTTTCCTTATAAACTTTTTAAAATTTATTCTATATGTTCTCTAGTTTCACGGAGAGAAAGTGCAATATGAAGCTCCTTTGGAATCAGAGTGATGGATCCTCACTGTGTGTGCATGTGTGTCCTATCTACCAGAATCAGCAACATTAGTGATAAATCTAAGAGTTTATAATGGATGTCTTTAGCTGAATATTAGCTTAAATGTGACAAAGAATTTGAACCTACGTTTTTAAGTTGTGTTCACATAGTTCTGTCTACTGAGGATATCTATGTTTTCCTCAGTGTCCTCTAATGATGGAAGCATTCCAGACTGCACAGCAGCACTCTCTGAATGATGCTTGTTTTCACTGAATGCTTATCTGAATTATAAGATAATATGCTTGTGTTTTGTTTTGAGCTTCTATCTTAAGAAAGCCTTATTTTTAATGAATTTGTTGAAGACTATTTGCTTTTTATTCTACTTCTAGGGAGATGAAATAAAGTGCCCTGCTGAATTTTCTACTACTTACTTTAATTAATAATTTAGAGAGAACAGAGACTTGATTAGGGTTCTGCAAGTATATATACTTAGCCTGCAGTTCTTAACGTAAGATAAACTTACATAGAAATAAAAGACAGCAGAGGGCAGTAGTATGGTACTTATGGTACAGATGTTCAGCTGGCTAATAATCAGTTTGTTCACTTGTACGTTCATTAACTGTTTGATGACTGAATGATGATGAGATACGAGTTTTGCTTTGATGCTTGTGTTTCTCCCCCTCCAGCCCTGAGAAGCAGTGCAGCCATGTGGTTTGCTGTTACATAAAAAACTTATTCATGCTTGTTTGTAGGTTGTTTGTGTAATGGAGCCTGTGCCATGAAAGAGTGAAAGAGTCTCATCTCTCATATCTGATCTATGAAAGAGTCTCATATCTCATTTCTTATCTGACAGACAGTGAAAGTCCTTAGTGTTGTGCTCTGTTGAGTCTGTAGGCAGGCTCTTCTAATGTTCTGGAATAACTGGGAGCTTGAACAGTGGATTTGGCTGGATACAGATGTGAAATGGTTTGCAAAAAACTCTGAACGTTCTTTAGATTTGTTCTGCCAGTGTGATGATTCTGATTCCAGCAGTTGAAAATGTTTCCTTCTTTTCTGATTCTTCTCAAAACCGCAGTGGGCTTACCAAGCTGCTGGAGTCTTAGTGCTTTCCACCCTTTTCAAAGTTAGTAAAAACAGCTCATTTTTCAGTCTTTTCTTTTAAAAGCCCTTCCACCATTCTCTATCTCAGTTTTCTCTTGCTGCTTTGAGAACTTTTTTAGTGTCTGGTTGGTTCAGCCTGAGAAATGCAGAAGATGGGAAAACTGGAAAGTCGTCTGCAAAACTTGTTCTCCTTCAGCTTTGTTTCATGAAGTAATGCCCATAGCTTGGGTTGTCTGCATTTCTTTTAACTATTTCAGGAAGAAACTAATGTCACAAAGGTCTGTTTCTGGCCTTTAATGTCTACTTAGCCTTTTCCCAAAATATTCTTTTTAGTACAAAACACTTCTTGAGAATTTCTTTTTCAGCCTATTCTGTTTGCTAAGCAACCTGACAGTTGTTGGAGACATTTGGTAATGAGTCACAAAATGATAGTGGTCTGGCAAAAAGCCTTGTTATCAAGATACACTACTGTAGTGTGGGCCTGAGGAATACAGCTAAATGTCACTGGGGGCTTGTAACACTCCAGGTTAGCAGATAAGGTTGGCAAATTTAGCTCATTCTGGTTTCCAAAAGACAGGCTAATCTTTTTGCAGAATGACACCACTGCAGTTGGTGCTGCTTGGCTTCTAGAAGACTGAATCATCCTTTCTCTCAAGCATTTACCCTTGTGTTTGGGTTGATGTACACCGAAATCCTCAGTGTGAGCTGAAGTCTGAATGTACATCTGTAGAAGAGTGTTTTGTAGCACTTTGGCTTATTCTTCATCCTTGTAGGAAAAAGCAGGAGTGATGTTGTTATGCTCCTGACAGACATGCTGCTACTTAATCAATTTTAATAGCATTAAAGCACCGAAGTTTCCTTAACAGAGCCACATCTCTGATGTTTTCTGTGTGGATGGCCTCCAGGATCTACCTGATAGTATCCCGTACAATTGAATGAGAAACAGAAAAAAAAAGACTTGTAACCCTACCAGGTTGTGTTTCCTTTAGATGACCATCAAAGAACTTGTGTAAGAGTGAGGCATTCTTAGTCCCGACATGGATTTTATCTGGCCTTAGAGATACCTTTGTTTTTTGAATTCTCTGATTTTCCTTTGCTCAGCCATGTTTTCAGGAAGATAACCTTTTCTTTGTGTGTGGCTAAAAAAAGAGTGAGTAAGGTTTCATTGTCTGAGGCTTGCTTACCTTGGGTCTCTCCCAGCTGCATAAAGCCAAGATTGAAGACAACAAGCCTGTCCTTCTCTGTTTAGAAATCTTCGTGCTCCTAAATGCTGCAGCAAAAAGAAATGCAAATTGGAATAGAAGCTGGGAAGACAGTTGTCAGTGCTCCTGATTTTTCAAATGAACCCAGTGAGAACCAAACCACTGAATCAAAATGGAAGAGCAGTGACATGTCAGAGGCAAGACTGACATGAGATAGTTTATATAACTACTCTAGCTTTCAACAGGTACTGATTTGTCCCCTTCTGACCCATTTCTAATACAAGCTGTGTGTCAGTATAGACTGTGTCAGGAACAAGGAATTTGATGTTCAGTTTCACAGCCAAGAATTCTATGTGGTATTGTAAAGTCATTCTGTAGTCTTAGAAACTCTGGCTGGAATATCTTTTGTGTGTTGTTTTTGTGCAAATACTTTTTCCTAAATGCATATTGAAACATTTGCTTATTAATTTAGAAATATGGTCTGAAGTCTTTAATTTGTGGCATTTCCTGTGTTTGCAGTGAGCTCGTGCTTGTGGTACACATACATACATTGCAGCTTTACAAGAAATCAGCAATGCATTTTTGCATTGCTAGTTTTTAGAGCTTTGCAGTACTGCTGGTGCCTTTCACCATTCCCATTTATACATTATAATTATAGTGAGTTATTTGTGGCTTGTCCTGAAACCTTGTGTTGCTAAGAATCTGTTTTTCTATGTGTGTTATCAAATCTAGAGTTCTCTTTGCAGTACTTCTGGAACAAATGCTTCATAGCAAAGGCAATACAGTTGTGATAGGACTTCCTACATACTGAAATCTTGAGTGCGTGTGTGTCCGTTTTGTTCTCTGTTCCTTTGCTGATTCCATCAATGCAGGCATCGCTGGTCTCTTTACTCGAGTGATTGAGATGGTTTGTCCCCAGCCAGTTGTCCCTTTGCCAGGATAAATGACAAAATTGCCTTTTTGTTTTTAGCATATTTCATGTCACCATTTCTTTTATTCAGAACTTTGTGAATTGTGATGCATTTATGCTTTCTTTTCTTTTTACAGTTTCACAGGAGAATTTATAAAGGAATCCCATTGCAGTTCAGAGGGCAAGTTTGGTCTTTACTACTTGATGTCCCTAAAATGAAAGAAGAAATGAAAGACTTGTACAGCGTGAGTTGTTAGAATTTCCACTTAATCTTTTATTTTTTTTTAAATCTTAGTATTACAAATTACCTTGAACTTCAATGTTCCTTTTTTTTTTTTCTTTCTTTTCTTTTTTTTATTCCATGTATTGTAAAGCAGTTTACTAGCTTATCTGTTGGTTTTGGTATTGATGTAATTAATTTGATCTTTTCCCATTCCCAAATCTTTGTTAAAGCCCCCTTAAAAGCAAAGTGAAACAATATAAGACAAATCTCTTCTCCTCTGAAACAACAACTCTTCCTTGAGAAATTTCTATTAAGGAGGTGCCACATCAGCTGAATATAAGTAAGAAGAGTCTGCAGTGTTCTCGAGGGGGGTGAGGAGTTGTTGCCTTCTCCATCTTGTTAAAGCTAAGAGGGCCTCTGGGAGAGCAAGTTGGCAAACGTTATTCCATGTTATCTCTGAGTTGAGGCATAGATATCTGTTACAAAGTACTGTCATTTAGTTTGTTGTATTCTCAGAGGTGTAACTAATACTGAGGTGTTACCTACCGAAAGCTACAGGCAAAAATTGACCACTTAAGCCTAATCCTACTTAGAGTGTAAAGAAAAAGGTATGTGTTGCACCCCAGCCCCCACCTGCATGTTGGGTAGCAGTTAAAGCCACCTTTGAATTATTCTGGTCATGTTCCTCTAAACTTTTTTTCTCTAACTCTGCTTTTTCTGTGGATGTGCTGTTTGCCATCTGAACTCAACTTCACATCCCAAACTGTAGACTGAGGTTTGTATGCAGGCCAGAAATTTAGGCAGAAGGGGAACTGAATCTTGTCACATTAGTCTTTTCCTCTCAATCTTTCTGCTCTAGGAGATTATAGGAAGACAGTATAGCTACCAGAAAGGTAAGATAACATTGTAGAGTATTTAATTTTTTCTCCACTGGAACTGAAATGTTCACTGCCTTTTAAGAAAAAATTGAAAAAATTTCAAGGAAATGCATTGCTAGGTTTGATTTTTATGGCACTCTTCAGGAGCTGACACTTTGGGTCTGAGCAGGCATGGCATCTTGTAAGGTCATGAAAGAAGATCGATGTTGGCATTGATGTTATCTAAATTTTGGTCTCTGTGATCTTCTTCTTGAATTATTTATCATTCCTTAGTCTGACAGGCTGCTCTTTCTGACTATTAGATTTTGTTTAACTTCATAAGGGAGACTAGAGGCAGATCCAGAAAGAATAGAATGGAATTCATGTTGAGTAATGTAGTTGTGGGAAAGAATACTGAGTATAACTAAAAGCATTTAAAAATGTTAATTCATATTAAGAGATTATCGATGCCATTTAGTGCAGAACAAAAAAGTGTCTTTGTAGTTCAAATATGGTAGTAGTAAGAGTTCCTTCCATCATAATCCTAGCTTGTTTATTTGCAATAAGCTCATTTAACCGCTCTCCTCTTTTCCCATTTCCTGAAGTGATATTAATACTCAATAATTCTCATTTACAAATTGCACACATGAAAGTTAGAAGGAAGATGCATGGTTTTGAGGAAGGTGAAACAGCTTCTTACAGTCCTTGGTACAGGGAAGTTACCAGTTCTTAATCTTTTAACATTTCTGATTCCAAGACTCTAAGTGCCCATCTAGAGGCTCTCATCATGACTAGGACTCAGGGTACTTCTTTTCCTGTAGTTCCAGTAAATCATGGGCTCTGGGTCCTTATCCTAGGCTCTGGGTCCTCATACCATTTTAAAACTTTCTGATCCCTTCTTTTCTGTCTGGAGGACAAATCACTCTGGATGCTTGTACTTTAAACCTTTTGTTTTCTTGCAACCAGAAGCTGTAGAATTCTACCTTATGAATACCCATGATATTCTATAAAAACGCCTTTTCCAACTTAATGTTTTGAAAATACCATAAATACAGATAGAAGTGTCTCACATACTTGACTTTTAGGGACAGAAGCAAGAATGAATGAGTGAATGTCAAGAAAAAAATTACTTTAGGTGTGAAAAGTAAGAAAGCAGTCCAACCTTTGCAGGCCTCCTGAAGTTTTCATTTGCAAAATTTGACTTAATTGTTAAACATCAAAGCAAGTAGAGCTATGCTACCATTAAATTGGTTAAAACATGAGGTCAGAGGAAATGGCTAAGGAAATGTCCAGAAACGTTCATTATCTATATTTAAATAGTAACTGGCAATGATGTAACTTTTTCTTCTGCTTATAGAAAAAGACAACAAAAGCATGAAAACCACCCTCAGTCATTTCTGGGAAGTCCAGTTGCTTTTCCTGAGCAGTGAAATTCTCTTGCTGTCTTTCTCATTGCACTTACATGAGAAATGGCAATTAGAAATTTGAAATGCTGAAACATAGTGAATGTTGTCACAAAAGTGTATGCTCAGGGGTTGGTCTTTTTGCATTTATACTATGTTAATGTGCATTTGACTATATAGAATTTGTGTGTGTATACATGTATATTTTTGAATGAGTTTCTGAGTTGCCATTTTATATTAAAGATTTTAAATCACGAGTTTCAGTGTACAGTTAGGTAGGTTTCTCCTTTTTACAAGCTTGCAATAAGGAACAGAAGATTAAAACTGTAACTTATGTTTTTTATTCTTCTCCTAGAAATTGAAGTGTCAAGCACGAGGGTCTTCACCAGATATTAGGCAAATTGATCTTGATGTAAATCGAACATACAGAGATCATATTATGTTTCGAGACAGATATGGTGTTAAGTAAGTAAATTAGAAGTTTTGTTTTATAATTGGTTTCTGATCTGCCTCAGACCTCTTTGATTTGCAAAAGGATGTTGAATGTAAGTTCCAGACTTTCAAAGTGGAGTTGTCTGTGTGCTATGAGGTAATCACCATTACTGTTACAAAGCCAAATAGTTACCAACCAGTGTACCCAGTGCAACCAGCCTACAGCAGGGGGCTGGAACTGGATGATCTTTAAGGTCCCTTTCAACCTAAGTCATTCTGTGATTGTTTCTAGCATGCCACATTAGCACCCTGCTGAGATGGAAAGGATAGGGAGAGTTTTTCATCTCTTTTTCTTTCCAAGACATCATCTACAGTAGTGTACTATTTTCAAAAAGCAATACTCAAAGAATTATGAGCTTTAATGTGATAATAAAAGAAACATTTTCCTATATTATTCCTCTAGGTATTTTGCAGACAAATTCTAAGTAGGCATGGGAAATTTCTGTGATGCTTTCAACACAGGATGGAGTACAAAGCAGAAATTCCCAAAGCTGAGAGCACTATTCTGTGCAGACACTGTAGTTTAGATACATTTGTGCTGTGGTATCTATGCTGGAGCTGATGTGCCTTGCCTCTCAGTACTGCTGACCTGGTGCTGTGCAAAAATGACTGTATTGCTTCGGAGCCTCTGCTAGTTTTAACCCACACATTTTAAGTCGAAGCAGAAGCTCACTGCCCCATCGGTTTGGGGCTAACACTGGCAGAGCCTGCTCTGTTCCCTTGGCTGTGTTGTGAGCACGTCCTCAGAGAGTATTGGAAAAGCCTTTGGCTGTTTCAATTTCACACTTGGAATAGAACTTGGAATTACTGTACATGCATTATACATTTCCAGCGATGTGAATGAAAATTGAGAAATCATTCCGTATAGCAATGAAATAAAGTCTTCCAGGTAAATCAATAGCTTGTTTGACTTCTCAATGGACTGTACATTTTTGAGGGGTCATTCTTTTACATCTCTTCTGTGGTACCATCTAGCGTAAATAGTACTAAGATTACCATTATTTTTATATCTTACTGTGAAGGAGATTTGCTCTTATGTTGGCCTTCATATTGTTCAAATTCCCATAACTGATAACAGAAGGTTCTCATGGATGGTATCTGCAACCTAACTGTTTTATCTCATTTTGTCCTTGTAAAATAAGGCTGAAGATTAATAACTGGTACTTCAGATTACATTTTTTTTTATTATTACCTAAGAATAGGTAAGCTCCAGTTTCTGCAAGAGACTGAAAAAAATACCATAATCTCTAGATATTTTGGTAAAATTCTCTAAATGTGCATACTCCTTTCCAACAGAAAATAAGCAGCTTTTTGCTCAAGATTTCTTTTTATAATCTTCAAATATTTGTCTGTACATTTGATCAGCGTCAAGCGGAGGGAATTTCACTGGACACAATAGTATACAAGACTCAGGAGTTAAACTCCTGCAGTTGTAGTTGAAAGAAGGCATTCACATTTCCAAATTCCCTTCCCAACAAATCACAGGAAGTAGGTGTGAGTTTAAAAACATATTATGAGAATTCTCCATTATTTTGATGTCCCAATTAGAGAAGTGTGGAGTTTATATATTTTTGTCCCGCTACAGTCACAGTTTAGTACAAGATGACTCAAGCTGTTTTTATGGAAAGCAGGGGACAAAGCTCTGCGTGTACTTCACTGTTAGAATTGCAGAGTTTGATATACTGTGAAGGGCTGAGCATAGGATGGAGAGTTGGAATTGTGATTGTTTGACAGTAGCAGTCACTAAAGCAGCTTTTAATTTGGTTGCCAAGATTAAGACACCTTTGTACCTGCTTTGTGTTTTATCTCTGTGTAACTGTTTGCAATCAGTAACAGCTGTTAGTGTTCTGCAAACAGAAATTAGGTGTGGTGTGTTTAAAGTCTGTCATTCTGAATAAATCAGTGTTTGACACGTATGCCATGTATGCCTCAAATCCCTTATTTGTAATAATAATGGTCTGACACCACTGGCATCTCAAATTGTTATAGATGTATTTTGTAATCTTTAAACAAGCAAAATATCAGAAAAGTGCAGAATGTAATGTTGGTTTAAAATCAGAAGCACTTATTACTGCTCTTTAGAACCAGACAAATTAAACTGGAGAAACAAGTTCCTAAAATACAGTTAACTAACTTTGTGTTTTCCCGTTTTTACAATACCCACTATTACAGCACTTTCTTTCTCTACTCTTGTTTCTCCAGGCAGCAATCTTTATTCCACGTTTTAGCTGCATATTCCATATATAATACGGTAAGTTGTGTACTTTCATGTTCTCTTTCTCTGAATGTGCTGTAAATTTATTTGCAATTCTGTATTCTGTTCCTCTCTCCCCCAAAAAACCACAACACATTTCAGAGACCTTTGGAAATGCAGAGAAATAAATGATTTGCCTGCTGACATGTTTTCAGCTACTGAAGTTGAAACAAACCATCTTGATTAGGAATGTCTTAGCGGGCAGAGTGAACAATACACAGAGTTTGACTGAGATTAAGTACAGTGTTCAATAAGAATAATGAATTTGTGCTATGCTGGAGTTTCATACTACTGCTATTTCTTCCCATTATATTATTTGCCCCCAATTAAGATCATTTGTATGATGAGAGGAAAGACTACAGAAAGGTGCATGTAGGAGTAAGAATGCATTTCATAGCCTGGAGTGTTCTAAAAAATGGAAGGTTTTGAAGGCTGCATCTTCCTCACTTAACTCCTGTTTTAGTTATGCTTCAGTGTATACATTAAAGTACATTCTGGTAGTAAATTTGGTCTTGACTGTAGTCCTGAACGAGGATTTTTTGAAGTAGAGTTGAGTAATGGTTAGAGGCCTGCTTATTTTGTAATGCCCTTTGACTGCATGTTAAAAATAGGGAAATGTTATGTCCAAATTTAATTTTGTTTTATGCACTATTCCCTTGTTCACTGTGCCTGTTCTGATCACTTTTGAACAACTTTCGTTTTACATCCATCAGCAAGTCCTTACAATTCAATGTGAAAATATCCAAAGTTGTGAGTAAGAGTGAAATTGAGCAGTTATTCTGCTTAAGTATCACTTCATTTCAATTTTCAGAGTTCTAAGAAATGTGGCTTTTATTTCCAGTTTCAATCTGCTCATATTTATTCGGCCCATAAATGAAGTTACATTGCTAGCATTTGTCACCTTTCATTTCCTGTGTTGTCTTAAGCTTTTTATTGGTAGTGTAAGCGCTGAGAAAACTCTGGAAGGAAGAATTTCCTTTACATATATATTTGTGCAGCATTAGGCTAATGTCTGCCACTTGTATGAAAAGTATTGTTTAAGGTCAGCTGTTACAATACAGATGAAGGGAGCAGTGAGTTTTTAATTTGCTTTAGCATTATTGTATTTTTCTTCTTAATGTGTCACAGTTCTTATGCTTTGTTTTTATTTCCGGAACAAAGTTCTTAAAAAGAACTGTTAAATCTGAAAGAGATTATTCAACTATTAATTCATTCTCCTAAATATTTTATCAACGGAGTTACCTGAGCAGTGAAATGATAGCGACCGTTGGTTCCTGCCATAAAAGTCAAAATTAATAGCAGAGGAATTACTAAAATTTAGTATTGGAACAGGACTTTTTTTTCCCTTCATGTTTAATTACTGTGTGTACTGTGTGCTGCTAAACTTGAACAGGTTTATAGTTTCAGGTCACTACTGAAAACTGCCATGTTTATCAGAGGGTGCCTTGATTGTAAAACAAGACAAAAGAATATCTCCCCCCTCCAGAGCCAAAGGCATCTAAATGGAAAACGTGTCCCTTCTGGAATAAGATGTTCTAATTACTTGAAATCATTAGTATTAAACCTGATTTAGAGCATTGTTAGAGAGTTCCAATGAGAGTTCCTGATTATTTTTCAGATGAATTGTTGAGCATCATCCCTTCTATCAATATTTTAGATGATCAGAAATCAGGTGCTTGTGGTGGTGCCATAATTAGGGAATGCCACATGCTATCAAGACAGACAGACTCTTTGCTGTGCTAGCTCAAAAAAAGCTAAAAACTCATGGGTGTGGGGCTTTTGCTTTTAGGATTTTAATATTTTTCACTGTGTAATTTTCAGGAAGTTGGATACTGTCAGGGAATGAGCCAGATCACAGCTTTACTCCTAATGTACATGAATGAAGAAGATGCCTTCTGGGCCTTGGTGAAACTTCTCTCGGGTCCAAAGCATGCTATGCATGGTATGGTGTGTCACATTAATTAGTATATATTAGGTTTCAACCTGATTATTTAAGTTGTGAATTATTTGAAAATGGAACCATGCTGCTATGAGTTTATGTTCAGTATAAAACACAATTGGAGCTTTATACTGGGATGCCATTGGATGTTACCAAAGTTCACATACTTTTTAATAATTGTTTTTCTGTGTTGGTTTCAAATAGTTCTTAATGAAAATCAGATGTTGCCTTTCCACTTAAGCTCTAAAGGAATGTAACTAGTTGAAAGCTGATTATGTGTATGTCTATACAGCAATAAAAAACTAGTGGAAAACTAATACAGAACGTGTTAAATAACACTGCAGCTATTCTATCACATAGCAGGACAGGAATCTATAGTAAAAAAATAAAAATAAAAAATCCCACTGTAAGCATTAACGTTGAGTTCCTTGGTTTTCTTTTTGCCTCACACAGCATTTCCTGCACTCTTAGTCTTGTTACACTTACATTATTTGTTATTCTCTCTTTCGATGTCAAATTTAGTATGACCCATGCATATTGAATGCCCATGGGGATAGAACAACTCCAGGAATTCCACTATCTTTTGTTAATGACTTAGTGATTCACAAAGCTTTAGTTCTTGGACACCTGAAAAAGAAAATAGTATTTGGAAACTGGTTGTGGGCTGTGGTTTTTTTTTACTTTTTGATTTTTTTTAATCCTCAGCAGGCTCTGGCTCCTTTTCCATTGAGACATTCTCATACTATGGTAGCTTTCTATCCAGTTCAGTGTTCTTAACCTAGTGTGCTGGTTGGCTTTTTTTCTGTTTGTACTTCTACAAAGCCATTGCCTTTTTTGATCAAAAAAAAAAAAATAAATCTGAAACAGGGATCAATGTCATAAATGTCATACAAGAAATTTGAATTTATAAAGAATCGAAGACTTGCTTGGAGCTTTACACAATGATAACATGGACTAAGAAAATGTTATAAAAGCCTGTATTTCTAGATCTAATAGTAATCAACAGCTATAAAAAACAAAGCTTTGTTGAACACTGAGCTCCTCAGTGGTCACAGAAAATTTTAGATGTCTTGGGAGAATGACTTTAAATCAATTCATTATATATTGAATCCGTGGAGCTGATTCTGCTTCCTAGGTGAGAGCTCTACGTAGGCAACATTTTTAAGATGCCCTGGTCAATGAAACAGCATCTTTTTTTTTTCAGATTTGAAGACTTATAGTGAGACAAGCATAGGATTGATTCAGACTGATGTTATCTACCATTACTAACCTAATAATAGTCACTAGGGGAAGGTAGTGATGTTTTACTATCGTCGCTTAAGCAGAAATATGTGCATATCTGTACATGGACATGAGAATATTGCTATGAATATCTGTTCAGATCCAGTGGTCTATAGAAGAGCAATATTCTTAGAGCTCTGAATTCCCTCTCCCCCCCCCTTTTCTTTTTCATGTTACTGTTTTTGTAGTAAATAAACACATTTCATGGTTGACTTCTTTTCTTAGGTTTTTTTATTCCTGGTTTTCCGAAACTGTTGAGGTTTCAAGAACATCACGACAAAATACTGAATAAGTTTTTGTCCAAACTTAAGCAGCATTTGGTAAGTACTCACAAGAGTAGTGTTTCTTAAGGATGGAAATTGATGAAAAAAAACTGTAAGGATGGAAATCATGTTTGTTTGATTAAAAAAAAGTACTTAACATAGCCAAAAAATACTGATTTCATTGGCCACAAGGCCATTGAATAAAACGGTTTTTCATGGACGTTATAAAGTGTTACTTGATTTTTATGAATATTTTTAAAAATGCTGTGGTTTTTACAGGACTCTCAGGAGATGTCCACTAGCTTTTACACCACAAAATGGTTTTTCCAGTGTTTCCTTGATCGCGTGAGTATGTTTTCCATTTTCTTTTTCTGCTTTTAATTGTGGGTTTGAACAGACTGTTTTCACTCTTGATTCTTTCATCACAGACTCCCTTTACGTTAAGCCTCAGGATATGGGATATCTACATACTTGAAGGAGAGCGGATTCTCACTGCTATGTCGTACACAATTCTGAAGATACATAGAAGTAAGAAATCTCTTGAGCACTTGAATGCTAAATAGGCTTTCTGCTAGTTTTGTTCTTATTTTGTGTGAAAAATCTTAGTTTCTTCTTTGCCTTGTGCAATTCATGACAAGTGTTTTTCTCTCCTTATGAACAAGCAGAGCAAAATCTTTCCTTTATTAATGTGACTGATTGTCAAAGAAAAATCATACCATCTTTGCAGTGGGCTTCCAGATGGTGATACGGTTTCCCCAAAATCATACTTGATTTACTTAATCATAAATAATTAGACAAATACAGTCACACCGTACAAATTTAAAAACTTATATTCTGCTGTATTTGTGTTTTAATGTAAGTTACTCAGACAAATAAGGAAGTTATATAAGCATCAGTGTGGGTTGAGCTTTGTTGCTGGTTGTAAAATGGGCAAAAAATATTCTACTTGCATGCTTTGTAAGTGGCTTTCTAGCCACTATAAGTTTTTAAAAAAGTGTTAAAAGAATCCAGAGAGAAAAAGGCTGGTATCTTGTGCCTGTAAATACCTGAAACTCTTATCAGCAAGCAATTCAGCAACAATGAACCACCAGTGTTATATCTCATTTTATAGTGCTGTTTGTCCAAGATTGTCATTAAAATTCAGAATTTCAGTAGTCTGACCAAATGATCTTTTCTTCCATCTTTTTCTGACAGGAAAAATAAGATTTGGAGTTTTGAACAAAAGCATTGTCCAAAGCATTTATACCTGCCCATAGTACCTGCCCATCTATGCCTGCCCCCATAGCACATGAAGTTCCAATTCTGAGATCGGATGTTAGCTTCTAAATATCCTTAGACGTTTCTGTAGGTGATAGATACTTTGTAGCTCAAGTTTGATACCATTTACCTGTGGTACTTTTGCATTTTCTTAGTGAAATCAATTGACTTTTTGTAAATTTAGAAGTCTACATGAAACTTAATGTTATCACTTGCTCACTAGCTTATCCTTATGAAACTGTATAAGCATGCAGTTACAGCCTTGAAAGCAAAACATTTGTGTAGGAAACGTGGCCTTATAGCTGTGTAAAATGGGAAAGAAAAAGAATCTGATAACTGTAAAACGGCTTTCAGAATATGACCTGAATTAATTGAAGTGGCAAATAATGCCTGAAGCAATGGTTCTGAACTGCCATAACCATTTCATTGGAAGTTAATTCAGTTGTGAATGAGAATATCTTAAATGTCAAATCTTAAACTGTTTTACTGCTTTTGAAAGCTTTTAAATAAATGATGTGTATTTTAGAGATCTATACCAGTGTTTTGTAAGCTGGGGCTGCAGGCTGAAAAATGAAAATCCAAAACTGTTGGATATAACATAAGCAGATCAAAGGCAGGTGACTTGTATTTAGCTTTTAGAAGATACCTCTTTTTGGAAAACATTGTTCTAAATAGAAAGCATTTCTGTATCAATTTGCAACTGAATTTCTGATGCATTTTGTAGATTTTTAGTGCAGAGTTCTATTTAGTGCTTAACAGATAGGCCTTTTTTTTTTGTTGTATTTTAACAATAAAAGCCTCTGATATTGTGCATACATTTTTGAAATGTTATGTTCTTAATCAAGATATTTTTATTCATAATAGTATTTTCTTCTTGTGTAGAACATCTGATGAAATTACAAATGGAAGAGCTTGTAGAATTTCTGCAGGAGACTCTAGCTAAGGATTTCTTCTATGAAGATGACTATGTAATAGAACAGCTCCAAAATTCTATATCAGAATTGAAACGAGCGAAGTTGGATTTACCAGTAGCTGGTAAGATACTTGTACAGATGCAGGTTTAAATACTTGGAGCTTTTTACACCTTGTCCATTTTTAAAGTGTTAATTCATTCTGGTAAAGACTGTGGAAATGGTTGTCTCTTCATCACTGCATACTTATTTCTTCCAAAATATTTTACAGTTGAGAAGCAACACCCTTCATTTCATGAGTTTGCTGTTTTTTTTTCTCATTGTTTTGTTTACTGATTACAAGCTAATGGCATAGCACTTTAAAACATCCCTGATCTGATAACTTTGATGTATAAAATATCACAGTTTCCAATTATTTGAAGCAACACTGTTGTCTGAGAATACAAATAATTTTGCAGCTTGGACAGCTATGAAACAAACATCAGGTCAGATAGTTGGTCCAATCCAGTTTTTTAATTCTTTGCAAGTGATAAACCCTCTGGGTATTTAAGTGAATTATTTTCTTCATTTTTGCTCACCCTTTGTGTTCATGCTTTGTGTTCAGTTGCAGAGCAGTGAGAGTTGTTTCTCAGGACATTACTTAAGAAATCTCTATAGGTTCTCTTCCACCCGTACTGAGATTCTATCATCTTTTTGATCACTTTTCTATCCTCAGTAACTGAACTGAATATTGTTGTGATTATGCTTAGTTCTTTTTTATCCTTGTCAATTTGTAAAATAGTACATGAGAAAGAAACCTGTTTTAAAATGAAAAAAAAAAATAAATAAAAAATGGCAGAAACAGCCTTAACTTTTAAGTTGTTATGATTAGTTTTCAGAAGTTAAGAAATGTCAGTATAAAGGTTGCCTATATAGTCTGGTGATAGTATCCTCTTGAAACTCTTTATGGAACTTCATTTTTGTGTTTCAGTACACCTTATTGCATTCAGTACTGGGGTTTCAGGGCTCTTCATCAGGAGAAGATACGTATGTTTCTTCTGCTTCTTAGTAGATCTGTCTCTCGGACATGCAGTCAGACATTCTATGTTTGTTTTCCATCTTCTTGGCTTCTTGTCCCAGTTTCTCTTGCTCCACATTCTTATGCTTTTCCTTCATTCTGACTTTTTACAATGTGTCCCTCATTATGCCTTCTCCTACCCAAAATAGAGGTCTGAGTCTTGCTCCTAATTGCCTCTTCATCATTCTTGTTTCTTCTAGTCATATACTTATTTTTTTAGTGAGTCTGCAACTCTCCTTCGTGTTACTGCTCATGCTGCTTCTTCCCCTTTCTAATCACAGCTTTCCCACCCTGCTTCTCTCCATCTTTCTAAGCCAGGTTGCAATGTTTTCATATTCTTCAGAGCAAGTTGCACTTTTCAGCACTGCTCTTCAGTTGTCAGCTTTTGTTAGACATCTTGTATCAGCTGATGCTTAATCACAGTGACTGGATGTGAATAAATATGTTAATGAACAACTTTGTCTTTTAGCTTCAATTCCAATCCATCGTGGTAAAGGAAGATAGGTGCATTGGAGTGCTTTCTGTTAAACTGTAAATACAGAGTTATCAGTGACTGCATGTGAACAGAGGAGATTTTTTGCTGCCTTTCAGAAACTCAAGTTATTTTTAGTTCATGGATGTGGTCAAGTAAATTTCACCAGTGTGGATTGTCTGTTTTCTACTTGAAAATGTGGTAGCTGAAGAGTTATGGGACGTTTTGGAGTTTACTATGTGATGTAATTCCTTCTTTTTCCACCTTGGAAAATAACAGACACAACTTATGGTGAGAGCTCATGTGGGACATACAGAATTCACTGTAAGTTTTCTTGAATGAAATATAAATAAATAAATGCAGGCAGTTCCTAGCTGATTTATATTTTAAGGTTTTTCTTTTGGGAGAATTTAAAAAGCCTTCAAGTGAAATTTTGATTGAGTATATTGAAACTTAGCAAAACAATTAAAGGAAGCTGTCCATGATGTCAAAGGTCACAAAGTGGATACCTTGTTTGAGACACAGGGAGTCATCTTATGCAAAAGCAAAAGTTAGTGAATAGTGAATACATCCTCTTGAAGCTGAATGTGAGCTGTATGGTTTCATATTTTGTATGTGTGAGTCTTGATATGACTAGCTGGCAGGAAACTAATTGTTTTAATCCACATTGTTTCTGGAAAGCTAAAGGAACATCAATTGCTTTACAAATGTCGTCTTCTTTCCAACATGAGTGAGGAAGATTGAGCAGTAAAATAAAAAGAAGAAAAATGATGCTCAAGTGTATTTTGTTGCTAGATGAGGAAGTGAGCTTTTTTTTCCATTTGAAAGTAGCCTGGGAAAGTCTCACAGAATAAATATGAAATACCTTTATCCTAATCCTTGGAAATCTAGTTGATTTTTTCTGCTGTTATCTGTACTTAGGTGAAGCTGCCTCATTGTTCTTCATATGAATTTCAAAGTCTTCTTCTTTCTTCTTTTTTTCTTTTATTTTGGTTTTACTAATTACTATCATCAGGCAGTAATATTTTTGCACAAGTTCTCCAGATTTTGTAGACATTCAGCTTTGTTCACGTCTGTCTCATTCTACTATCTTTTCTACCTTCAGTCTCTTTTTACTATTTTCCATTTAATTTCGTATAAAAATTTATGAAATCATTGTATGTCATGCAGTAATATGCACAAAAATACCAAACTGTTCATTTAAGTATTCACTATAGCCTGAAAAAAGGATGTTTTTATTTTCTCAACTGAAATCAAAGTACTAATTCCTGTCTTACACTTCTTTTGCATTGAGCAACAATTACATCTCTAAGAACTAAAATAAAAATGAATGATTGAAAAATATCTCCATCTTACAGTTGCTTCAGTATCAGTCATCCTGGAATAGCAGAGAGCTACTTGAGCTCTGTGGAATTTTCCATCTGGCACCATTTGTTAGGCTGTATGGATTTCCCTGCCCTAATAAACAGCGGTAGAATATTTAAAGAGGAAATTTGTGTGTTATTTTAAAGTAGATAGCTGTTTGTGTCTAATGTAGCTTTCCCTGGCTTGCTTCTTCCATGGCTTCTTCCACTGTATTAAGGAGTTCCTTTTTACCTTCAGAACACAGAGGAGAGAAGGGACTTTGTTAAACACTTTGGCACTGATAAAACCCTTAAGGTGCTCTGCCAGAACATTTGATGTTCCAGGAGCACAGCTGTATTGATCAGCCTGATTTTGGATGTTAGCTAAATGCCTTTGCCAGCACTGGGACTGTATTACATAAGCAGACCACAGATTTTTATGCCTTTCTCAGCTAATTTCTAGTTTTAAGTACTGATGTATGTAGGACGGGTCTGTACTTAGCAACTGCGGCCTTCAGAGTATGGCTCATTACTTGCTCTTCTGAAAACTCAAGGTAGGCATCTACATTCCAGTGACTGTATGGAGACAGAAATCTGAATGGATAAGCATGCTGCTTACTGTCAGGCCCTTTGAGGGGCAAACTGTGACGTTTATGGAGTAGACAGTCCTGTAAGGTACTTCTCCTCTGACATATCCTCAAGCAGATTTAGTAGATAAGACAATTAGTATTTTCTGAGTTGTCTGGAACACTATGAAGGGTGTCCACTTCACAGCAGGTTCTTGAACAGCACAGTCACTTAAATTCGTATGACTCCTATTTGTGTCTTCTCAAGGAGCCAGATCTGAGGCAGAGTAGACAAATCTCTTCCTTCATTCAGAGATGGTGAAAAGAATTTTGCTGGCATATACTGTTTTTCAAAATTTCTTGATGCAGATCCTTTTCTTGTCTTTCATTTAAAGGAACAGCAAAATTCTTAAAATGCCCCACGTTTTGATACAAGGTGTCCTGGAAACAGAAGACAGAGATCCTGGGATGGACTTTTTTTGTTAAATTAAATTTTAATAGACCTTACAGCAATGGAAAAGGCCTTAAGTCAGGGATAAAGTCTTACATCTTAATTTTAAGGAAATATTGCCTAATTTGGAATCTGCCATTGTTCTTTTGATTATCTGAACTATTTTAGTGCCTGGAAACACCTGCATTAAACTGATCACATTCTTCTAGTTCTCCCAGTCTTTTCTGTATTTGAAGACAATTAGCAAAATTTGGGTTTTACATCTTAATTTGGTAAATGTATACCTGCTACTTATCTTTAGAGGTATATTTCAGTAAATTTGTTATGAGTGCTTTTAATGCAGATATTTATCTAATTTAAATACTAACTTGCGATAGTGCAGAAATATCTATTAAATAATGTTGGTTTTCTGCTCTTAATTCATCTTTTGACAGCCAAAATATTGCAAATATGTGAGTTGACTTGTGTTTCTGATGGTATATCTCTTTTGGTTGTGTTTTGTTTCAGAGGAATTTTGGATTTTTCACTTGTTGTTGAAGAACACACAAGTAGCAGTTTATACGATGCACTTCATATTTTAATCAACTAATTTTTCTGCCTTGAGTCTTGTGTGATATGGCCTTACAGTGTTATGAAGGAAAATGGCATTTACAGAATTATACTAATATAATTAGGATATTTGCAGCGATTTTGGACTTAGGCTTTGCATCATTTAAAAAATACTTACTGTTTAAAACTTGCATGCTTTTGTTGAATATGACTCAGTTCTGTTGGTTCTTGTTCATAGCACAGGAAAGTGTATTTTCTGGAAGAAACATGGAGTTAGGGATTAAAAAAATGAACAGATTACTTCTTTTTTTTATTATTTTTATATTTTTTAGAGAAGCCACTTACTTGTGTCACCTCAGTGACCTAGTTTGTTGACATTTCTATTATTTCTCTAAATGTAGATGTTTATAAAATATTTTTGTTGTTGTTGTTATTGTCAGTATTACAAAAGTGACCTAGTATTGGGAAGGCAAGGAGTGTGTTTTGTTCTACCATCTTGTCAAACAAGATTTCATTTGAGCATCTCCTCCAAAAGAGGAGGAAGAGAGAGTGACTTTTGGGCAGCAGTTTGAGCTTTTGGTTCAGGCACTTAAATTTCTTTAAAATGTACATGGACTTGTAAACTGAACAAGTAAGATGGGAAGTCACTGATGGAAAATAAATGCAAAATATCAAGATGTCTTTTT